GGTGATCTAGAATGCTCCCCCACCAAAATTGCCAGTATGTACCAGAAACGTTATCACGTTCTAGAAATAGTATCTCGTTGACCCTGGAATGTTCGCGAAAGTGTCTCCACCATAGTCGTCCCATAGGTTTAGTCTTAAGGGGTTTAATTATGTATAATAATCGGACAAGTTGAGCCTCAAAGGCCAAATAAAACAGAGAGGGACTTGTAGGGTTAGAGCATGATTGAATAATGAAATGGCTCACATAACAATACTCATAGAAGACACAAATTTCAAGTTATTACAATAATTTTTCAATGTACACAAAGTATAAGTAGTACTATATGCAAGTTAGTGAAAAATTGCTCATTTCGTAAAAAAAATATAAATAATTTTTGTATTTAAACAATTATAGCTTTATTTTAAGTCCGATTTTAAATATTCTTTTTTATGTGATTTAGAAAAAGATTTACTACAACTTGATAGGGATCGGATTAAGAATAGTGTTTATTTATTCATGGTAATTCTCTATTAAAAGTAGTTATTTGTCTATACAATTTAATAAAGACAAAAGTCTACCTGCCAGATTTGACATTATTATACTGAATAGTTGTTAAGTTTTGTTTAACTAAAAATATAGACAAATTTTTAAAAATACCCTGTATCTAGGTAATGAGGTAGACTTAATATTCATGGATGATTTCGAATAATTCAAGTGTCCCACACTTACAGTTAAATTATGTTCATTTCACTCTGAAACACCCTATATATGTAAGTATTTCATATTAATTTATCATACTGTATATTCTTTAAAGGAACCTCAGAAACAAATTAGATGGGTAATATCCATATTCTCTCCATTTAAATCGACAGGAACTGATGGTATTTATCCATGGAGAGAGGTAAAAGTAATATTAATACCCAAACCTGGAGGGATGGATTACACTGTCTCAAAAATATACCGATTAATTAGTCTGACATCGTTTTCCATGAAGACATTGGAAAGGCTATGCGAAAGGTACATAAGGGATGCGGTTATTACAACAACACCACTACACCCAAACCAACATGCATACACCCCAGGCAGATCTACTGATTCAGCCCTTTATCTAGTTGCCACCCAAGGAGCCCGCCTTGGGTGTTTTCATAGACATAGAAGGTGCTTTTGATAAAACCACCTTCCCAAAGATAATACACTTACTAACCAACAGGAATGTTCCATATATGGTTAGTAGGTGGATACATAACATGCTCTCAAAGCGAGCAGTAAACATAAGTGTAGAAGAAGTGAATATAAGAGGCTTGGTTGCGAGGATGTCCACAGGGAAGGGTGCTATCACCTCTACTGTAAAATATGATCCTTGACATTCTCATCAGCCGCCTCAATAATGACAGTGACTACACAATAGCATATGCAGATGACCCTAGCAACTCTGCAAACCGGGAATTTTGAGAACATACTTTGCGAAAGAATGCAAATAGCTCTAAAAATTATAGAACAGTGGTGCAAGCACCATTTACTGTCTATTAATCCTAAGAAAACAGAAATGGTCCTTTTCACAAGGAAACAGATGAAAATGAATAAAAACTTAAGTTTGCAACAGAGGTGAAGTACCTAGGTCTCACCTTTGACAGCAAGTTAACATGGAACTCGCATTTAGAAAACAGTCAAAAGAACATACACTGCTTATGAACAATGCCGTCGAATCGTGGGGCACACTTAGGGTCTCTCCCCCAGAGTCGTCGCTTGGACTTACACGACTATCATAAAACGTATGCTAACAAACGGTGCATTCGTCTAGGTACCGAAAACCTAAAAATTAACAGCTATCCGTAAACTAAAACAAATTCAAAGAACAGCATGTCCCAACGTAACAGGAGCCATGAAAACAACACCTACCAGAGCCATGGAAGTTATTCTTAGTCTCACTCCCCTTGATATTTACATCAAGGAGGTTGCTCTGACGACAATGGCACGCCTCCACACGGTTGAAATAGAACCTGATGTAGGGTCTGGTGAGGCAAGACGTCGCTTTTTGGCAGGAGGCACTCGATACGCTCCCACTGCTTCAAGCGAGATATATTTTCCATAAGCCATATAAAGTTATAACAGAACAACTAGAAGAGCCGAAAGTGGCAGGTACGATTCATATCTGCACAGACGGTTCTAAAACAAAACGAGGCTCAGCATGTGGAATATATTCCAGATTCTTAAACCTAAATATAAAATGGACTGTGAGCAGTGTCAGTGTAGTTCAAACAGAGCTAACGGGGATTCTCATAGCAGCAAAAGAAATCACCAGAAATAATATCACTGGGAGGAACATGCTCATCTATACAGATAGCAGACAAGCACTACTCACCCTGAACAGACCACGAATTTATTCAGGGTTAGTACTAGAATATCATGAAGCTTTGGCCGAAGTATCCATCTACAATGTGGTCACCTAAGATGGATCAAAGATTACGCCACATCGAAAGATAACCGTCTTGCTGATTCACTACCCAAGAAAGCAGCCAACCAAATACTTTTTGGACCTGGCCCTTCTATTGGCCTGACAAAATTGATAGTGACAAACCTAATTAAAGAAAATTCCCTTGTGAAATTCAAGGAAAGATGGGATGAAACAAGAAACTGCAGAGTTGCCAGGGAATCTGCGCCTAGTCACAGGCATTCTGACTGGTCATTCCCAAGTACGGAAGCATCTCCATATCATAAGGCTGTCAGAATCCGCACTCTGCAGAGGGTGCGAAAAAGAAGTTAAGACAATCGAGCATATCCTTTACGATTGCTCAACGCTCTCATTTATTAGATTTGTATTCGGCGAGTATTGGCTAACACTGGCCGATATAAGAGAAGCACCTCTTGGCGACGTTATCAACTACATTAAATCTGTAGGCTGGCTCACTAGCTAGAAGGTGTCTATCATCTTAGGAAGATGTACAATAGGCATAGTGAGGCCTAAGTGCCGTGGGGGCAATCCACCCTACATACGTTACAGATACAAATACAGAGAGAAACCTCAGAGGTAAAAAGAGGACTATATTATGTGAAAAACCTTAGAAGATCCAGTAACATCAACTTCGGCTTTAAAAATAATAATGCTAACCCAATCGTAGCAGATCAATGTTCTTCCTTAGCTGCTTCTCTTATAACTCACCCTGACTCGTTTGAGAATAATAAACTTGTGGATGACTCTTCTGATGACAAACTTTTAGAAATGGAAATTGAAACCGATCTAGATACAACAATAACTCTAAACCCTCTCGAAGGAAGATATTATGCATATGTTTCAACAAATTCAAAGTGCTAACCATCATAAGCCTTTAGATTGTAATATCTCGTTAATGGTTTTCATGAAAGACAAAAAGGTCTTACAAGCTGCTTTATTTTTAAATGCAATATATGTAATATTAAAAAAGAAATAGATCCAAGACAGGAATTCAATTTAAAAATCAATTCTGCGGCTGCTTGCCATTATAAGGACTGGTGGTGGACATTTAGAATTGGTGGAACAACATTTAATTTTAAACATTTCACAAATCTCTTTTATCAGTATGCTGTATATAACAATTTAGTATCTGACACAATACTTCAAACCGTTCAAACTTTCACGAATGAAGCAGGTCAAGAAGAACTTCGTTTAGCCAAAGAATTGGGAAATGTTGACCAAGATGGAAACGGTCTGATTACCGTAATAGCTTTCGAAGCTTGGTCAAAACCATTATATAAAGTTAATTATAACGTCCCCTCAGGCGTCGCTTGTATTATTGGGGATCAAATGGGAAAACTTGTTATTTGGATTAAAAAAACAAGTATTGTCCTATCTGTACATGGGCTGCATCAAAGAAAATAGAAACTCAAGATCATGTGTGCTTTAGAAATTATAGTGGAAAAAGAAGTCTTTTTACTTTTTATATTCAAAACTGACCAAGAAATTATAGAAATAGAAATTAATACGAGAGGACAATCCTCAAATCTCATCATACCGGTTAAGAGCGTCCCCATTTGGCGAAGCTAGTCCTTACGGAATAATTGATAAGGAGACAATAATAGAAATCAAGTGTCCTTACACTGCAAGAAGATATACACCACTCGAAGCGATTCATGATAAAAAAAATAAATATTTAGATATTGAAGAATACGAAGAAATTAGTTCAAAACTAAAATGTAACTATTACTACCAAGTACAAGGGCAACTGGCTATAACTAAGGCCAATAATTGCTATTTTATAGTTTGGACGCCGTTGGGAATGTGTTTTATCATGTTATCAAAATAAAAAGAGATGAAAACATTTGGCAAAGTATGCTGCCAAAGTTAAAGACATTTTATGTAAAAATCATGCTTCACAAAATTGTAAAAAATGTTTAAGAATAATGGGTTTGAATGTAGGTGACGCGTTGAAAAGAGAACACAAAAAAAATCGACTTTTTTATGTTTTTGTACATAAGGTCGATTCTTCTATCCTTTAAACTTGCAAAATTATCTAGAATATTATCAAAAAATGGCTCTGATCGTACAAGTTCATTTAAGAGTGTCTTTTCAATTGAAATTTTTGCTAAATTGGTAAGTCGATCTTCTGTTATTGTATTTCGTAGGTATGTTTTAATTCGTTTTAAACAAGAAAAACTACGTTCGACTAAAACACCAGTGGATGGATTGGTTAAGATTAAGCAATATACCTTAAAAGCTTCTTTGAAAATATCACGAGTCTCAAATAGTTTTTCCAACAATTTATCGATGTCAATATTTATAAAGTTTTTATCACTGTAAATAAACTGTAACTCATTTTTTAACCTTTGTAAGTCATTTAATTTAAATATACATTTGAACTAAATTATTTAGTGCATCTGTAAGAAAGCTCTCCGAATATACAGAAAATTTGGAAGTGTCCATTAATGTTACGAACTGAAGCTTATCAGTATCTTGAAAGCGAGTGTTCATTTGTTCTAAAATTGTGTCCAGGATTTCATAATACAGAATTTTATATTTTTGAACCACTTGATCTCTTGTCAAGACTTATCTTATGCGCCCATCACGGTGCTCAGTGGGCAGTTCTGTTCTTAGGGAAACTGAATCAATTATATTTGCAAAAATAACTTCACTTCTTTTAGTGTTTAGTTGATTCTGCGCATTTTTAATTTGAGATACACAGTAATTTATATCTAAAGAACGTTTCTGCAATACATCAAAAAGTACATCGCTGATGGAAAAAAATTCGTTAAAAATGATAACTAGAAGAACAAATTCAAAGCCATTAAACATATTTAAGTAGCCCTGGCTCTGTCTTATCGAAGCCTTATTAGAATTTGGGTCGTTTAAAATGTCAATGAAAACTTGTTTTAGAGAATTCCAATTATTATGAATAAGACTCAAAATCTTAGAATTAGATGACCATCTTGTAACTACTGAAGTAGGTATTCGCTTATTGAGGATTACATCGGCGGCGTGAGTTCTTTTTGCTAAATGATGAAAAAAAAAAGAAGGCAGACCATTCACATTAGCAAAAAATATACGACACTTCGAAATGCTGTTATAGCTTTGAGACAGGACTAAATTCAGACGGTGCGCCAAACATTGAACGAACACCGCCTCTGGTGTTACTTTCTTAATCTTCGATTGTAAACCATCTAATTGCTCTGACATAACACTAGCGCCGTCATAACATTGTCCAACAAGTTTTGATTTGGAGTCGTATTTTTCTAGACAACTTGTAACTAGGGTAAACAATGCTTCAGCTGTTCGCTCACAACTTACATCATGGAATACTAAAAATCTTTCAACTAGCTTTCCTTGAGAGTTAACATACCTAATTATTGTGCTATATTGAGATTTTTGAACAATATCTGTTGAGTCGTCTACTTGAATAGAAAAATTGCAATCATTTAATTCCATTTCAATATATTTGTCAATATATTGAGAAATACAGTTTATTAATTCATTTTGAATTATTTTAGAATTTGCGGCAAATACAAGCGAAATTTTTTTATAGTGTTCTTGAATGTATACAGAACTGAGTGAGATATAGGAATCTAAAAGTTCCTTAAAATTACTGCGATTTTCGGAAGATTTATCTTCATTATGACCACGAAATGTCAATTCTTGTTTTCCTAGAAAAAGAACTGCTCGAATTGACAACTGCATATAACGTATGTTAAGATGCACTTTTTCATTAAATTGTTTTATATATAGGTTAGAATTTTCTTTTAAAGCCTTTTCAACATTACATAATTTTTTTTAGTGCACAATGCATATGTTCACATGATGATTCATGTTTATGTAGGCCGCGAGTTACGTTCTCATAATCACTAAAACCGTCTTTATTCCATACATTTGATTTTACACCTACTATCAAACAGGGTACGCAAAAAAGATGGTTTAAATAAAAACTACCACACAACCATTTACATACCATTCTTTCCGAAATTTTCACATAAACCCTATCTTTTGAGTTAGTTTTTTTGCTAACATTTAGCAGAGGTTCAGGTTTAGGCGAATTTAAAAAGTTTGTTTTATCCTCACTTCCCCATCTACAGAATGGCATCTCCAATAGCATAAATACTGGATCATGTACTGGAAACATTGTTAGAAAAATCGAAAAAAACTCGCAATAGTCGCAATTGACCAACTAGTCCAACCACTGTATAAAAATAGTCCCGACCGGAAGAAGCAAACCGAATCAACGCGTCAAGTGCAATAATCGGCTAGATCGAAACTTGCCGTTACCATGGCAACCATCATAAACGCGCCGATAGAAAAGACGCGTGTTCGGCGGTTTTATGCATAGCGCGTCAAGCGCTCCATTCGCTCGGATTAGGAAATATTTCTATTGTATTACATTTCCAAAAACAAGCGCGTCCGGACGGTCGAATTTTTTTTATCAAGCGCCTCGTTTGTTCCATGAAGTGGTCTAGAAATTAGGTACAATTTTGGAAATTTCTGTTTTGTAATTTGTATAGAGAGTCTCTATTAGAGACAAAGATGCAGGGCATTTTGTTACAGAAAACGAAATATTTAGCTATTCAGTTGATTTTTTTATCAATTTCTACTGAAATTTTGGTGAAGCAGCGCGTCACCTGCGTCATCTAGCGAGCCGCTACTGATTCTGTCCTTCTTTGATATAAACTTTCAATAATAATGTTTATTATTGATTTTAAAACCAAAAAGGGATTATTTTCTTTTCGCAACTGGGGACAATGAATTTTTCGAAACCAATTTCATAATGTTCAACATTATGCAATTGGTTGCGTAAAGTAGATCATTTTGACACTTGCTGCGATTACAAAATATTTAAATTTATATGTCAAAGTTAGAAAAAAACATTTAAAAGCACAAAAAATTACAAAATTACTAAACTCCAAAATAAAAAAAATATCAAAACAAAAAATTTTAAATACGCCAACAATATGTTGACAGTCCTAAGCCTGACATAAGGGTGAAGAGAAGATTGTTTAATGTAGGTATATATTATATATATACTTAATTATTTATATTATTACAATAGTTTATCCCATGTTAAAAAAAGGTTTCAATATAAGTATTCAAATTTACCTGCTTCAGATTGTACTTCAATTTATTCGTTATTCAAAATCTATTTTCATTTTGTAAAATTATGTATACTGTTGTCTTTTTTGTCGCTTTTGAAAACAAGAAGACGATATGTAGGTACGTTAAGGGACTAAAAGTTTTTAGTTGTTTAATTTCCTAATAAATTATTGTACTAATAAATTGTTTACCGTTATTAAAATTAACTAAACATGTTTTCCCTTCTTTTACCTTCATAAAAACACTTCGCAAGGAATTTAAAACATTTGGAGCATTTGATTTGTTTATTGTAGATACTGTCGCCTATATTTGCAACTTCGTCAAGGGTCTAAAGCAGGTAGCTAATTTCTACTTATTATCTTTCTCTCTTAGAAGCACGGACGTTTCGTTTGTTTATGAAAGTAAGTAGTTCTTTATCAGTCTTGTTTCGGAATCCAATAACGCCCTTGATTCAGATTTAATGCATTTTCTACTATTTTCAAATCCGTTCGAATATTTTTAATATTTTGATTATGATGTGAGTCACCTGTTCTATATCACGTGGATGAGATCTATAGATGCTGACTATTAAAAAGCGAATAGTTTAATATTTTTAACAAAAAAAAAAACTTTCTCTACGTTCATTTTATCTCCCCTATTTCCCTTCGGCCCTCTCTGCCAGCACACAGCGCCTTCTTTTATCTAATTATCAGATCACGAAACTCCAATAATGAAAATTCTATAAGAATGAGTGAAATTTACTGTAGAGATATTTTGAAGATAACCTAATTTCTATCCAGTATATTCGGGTAAAAAAATTGAATTCCGGAAATTCTTGAGAGAAAAGATTAGCAAAACGTATAAATTATAATTAGTTTTTTTTTGTGTAACACTCTCTAGATATAAAATTTGAAAAGAAAAACAAGAATTAGATAAACAGTAACGAATAAATCGTAAATGAATTATAAAATGTCAGGTCTTAAAACAACAACTGAAACAATGTTCATTAAATTTTATGGACCTGACGACAGTTTAGAAAATGTAATCTGTCTGAATGACATGAACATCAAATTACTCACAACTAATAAAATTATGGGATCATTATCAAGAGATAATAATTAATAATAATAATTAATAATATGGAGAGAAAAAGTTATACACAGAAAATATCCAGCTGCACTGACACAGCAAAACATAAATAAAAAACTTTCGCTAACTTGGCTAAGAAAAGGACAACTTTACCCCGGAGACTGAGGACTTTTTAACAGCAATTCAAGATCAAGTAATCCGTACACGATACTATGAAAAGCATATTTTGAAAGCAAATGTAGAGGATGTATGCAGAAAATGTCGAGTACCTAATAAAACATAACGGCGGGATGTTCCGCATTATCAAATAGTGCATACCTAAGAAGACATAAACAGGTAGCCAAAATAATACATTCCCAGTTAGCGCAGAAACTAAACCTAACTACAAATTCTCCACCTTGCTATCGCTATAATCCAGAGCCGAGTTTAGAATCAAGGTAGAATATTTTATATTGGGACCGACCGATACTTACTGATCGAACAGTGGCTTACAACCATTATCGGCAAAGAAATCAAAGAAGCATTTATTATAGACATTGCTTGTCCACTAAGCCATAACGTTCTGAAAACAGAATTAGAAAAAAATACAATAGCTATTTGTGTATTAAGAGCAGAAAGTAGCACTTTGGCAGTTGAGACAGAAAGTTGCCGTTAGCGGAGAGCGGCAATCTGTCGAAACAACCAAAGAACTTTCTGGCCGAATTGCACACAAGATGTTTTCTCCGATCAGGCCAAAATTAAATAAGTAATTTAATTATTTAGAAATAAGTTACCCTCTTTCGTTATAATATTGAAGTTTATTTGACATAAGCCTACTCTTTGAAGAGAAAAAAATGTTTTATGTGGGTAAATATTTATGATTTAATCATTTAATTATTTACGGAAAATACTGTTGGATGATTTAAAATATAAAAGCGTGTGCCAAAGTTACTTTGGCGCACGCGTGCGCCAATAATGTCAAATTATGATAGAGGAAAACGTCAACTTTCTAGTTAGATTTTAATTTGCAAAAGCTTACTTCGGATAGTGATCGTATAAAAAATATGAAAACCTTGCCATAGAAATAAAACATGTTTGGGGCATGAAAAGAGTACAAATAATCCCAATAGTAGTTTCGGTTACAGGAATTGTCTCTATTAATCTTCCTAAACAACTAGAAAACTAAATATACTTCCTATTATACCACATTTACAATAAGCAGCCATCCTACAGACCTACCATATAGTGGAGAAATTTTTGGGAGTATTGGAATAATATGAATAAGATGTAACCGGCAAATAGCTGAGATAAATCAAAGTCAGTAATAATAACAGTAACAAAAATAGTAATAATAAACTAAATAAACCCACGGGGGGTAGCAACTGACTGGTGCTACTTGGGTGTGATAACCCCACGGATTCCTAGTCCTCTGGCAGTAGAATAAAAATGCCGTATCTTCTGCGTCAAAGGGCAACACCTCGGGCAACACCTATAAAAATGAAGAAAAACCAAAGCTTCGGAGAAGGGTCGCTGGGTGGGACTCGACAGGGCATGTCTAGAGCCGCCGCTGGACATGACAGCATGCGGGACGTCGGTGGCAGGGAACTGAGGATGTTGCACAAGAAGTTACAGCTCCACAATTATAATAAATGTGCGTTATATCAACAGGTTAGTGCGCAACAAATTCGCACATACCAGTCCGTTTTACAATAACAAAATTTAAAGTACACCGAATAATTGAATAATTCAAAAATGTTTCGCTTATTAGTAAAAGTAACACACGGAAAGTATTGTTTCAAAATTATATATTTATATAAATAGTACAATTATTTAAAAAACATGAATTGATAAATTTTTTGTACAATGTAAATCTGACTTTGGGGTTGCCGCCCGATTGAACCGATACAATCACAAAACAATATGGTTATGGTTGCTGATTAAAAGATGGTGAGTACTTTTACTTTTATTTAATTTTAGTTTTAGTTAGACGTGTTATATTTAAAATTAGGCAAAGATATTTTGATGCTTTAACATGTGTTTACAAGGCCTTATTCGTAATAAAGTCATAATATCATTGTAATAGCGTTGTTTGTATAAACGTAAATAGTATATTTTACTGACCAATTTATGCTGTTAATTTTAAGAACAAACATTTTTTTAAATTTTCTTCCGATATTGAACAAGGAACAAAATGATGACGCATAAACTATATCATTGCACTTGCAAAAAGACATTCATAGGTTACAAGACTTTGCCTTCGGTTTCCTTAAAAGCTAAATTAACACTAAAGAGTAATACTAATA